CAGGATGTACTTTTTCGTCTCTTTTATTTGCCTGTCCTGCCAGTCCTTTTATGCTTTAATTAGGTACGATAATGTGTCCAAACACCCCCTGAATGGGGGAGCTCACATGAGAAGTTCACATTTGAGAAAGGCTTGTAGAAGGACAGCAGGGAATTCCCATCCCAGAGACCAGAGTCAGAATTCAACTTTTGCACCCACCGCAAGTAGATGAAATTTCAGCCTGAGCTGAGAAATCACACTGTAATTCCTGTTAATAGAAAATGAAGTGATATCCCTGGGCACTTAGTAGCAGGGCACATATGCTTTTCCTATCCAATTCAGCATTTGCCATTACAATCCTCCTCGATAAAAATTATTGGTATGTAATTGGTTGTAGTCATATTCTGTCACTTTAATGTTTCTGTGTGGCCATTGTATGATTTCATCTGGGGCATGTCTGAAGTCAGTAAATTTGAAGAGGCACTCTCCAAGGCAGAAAATAACAACCAGGTAGTTAGGACAGGTTGACAACATATTACCTATTGCACATTAGCAGGGAAAATGAATACAAGAATGTCATCTTTATTTTGATGTTATTGATACTTCAGCATAGACCAAAACTGCCATAAAAGTAAGGGTTGTATTGTACTAAACAATGGATAGGAACAGGAAAAATTTCCTAAAGAATTTCCAGTCCCTTGGGAACAGAGTGTAATGTAATAAATAACATTCAGGCACAATGTACAAACATAACATTCTTGAAGAAAATGCTTGTTTTATTATCATGACAGCCATGTTTTCCATACTCAGGACTAGATCTATTAACTGGACTGCATATCACAATCCTTTGATCCACAAAGATAAATCTTCAGACATAATTCCAAAATCCAGAGCCCTGAACAGGACCAAAAGACTTCCTCCCGAAATAGGGGGGAGAAGAGGAGAGCTGGGTATCTGTGATAGGTTGTCCCCCAACCTGCCTTCCATGATGTGATGATGACTACAAAACCCCTGAAATTTTTCAGACTTCTTGTAATTTTTTAAAAGTCCATACGCTTAAGATAGCATATGTTTGATCAAAATGTAAAGGGGAAAATGGGAACTGAAGCAGCCATAACATAGAAGAAGCAGCAGAAATAAAAAGTTGGGAAAGCATTTTTCATCTCCAGGCCAAATCAGTCCAGAGTACAATCATATAATGGATTTGCCATACTTGGATTGATGCAGCTGTATCTTAATGAGCAGAACTGGTAATATGCTAATGGCTGGACACTTGTTTGAGAATGTGTCTCACAATCATCTGCTGTTCAGGCTGAGACTCCTACCTGCAGGTGCAGCAAGATCTTCTCTTCCCTTTTGTGATGGAGTCTCTGGAGCTTAGAATAGATTTGCCCCTTGAGGACTGGCGGCCTACTGGTGTTACTTAGACTTAAGTACATAAGATTAGTCGTTAAGCTTTCTGGGGATATACTAAGGTCACAGACTCTATGTGCCACATAGTATTTTCTTAATGGATTATTTTTATTGCATTATTCCCTGTATGTTTTCTGTCTCTCCTGCTACTATCATGTGTAAATTTCTTTTAGACCTTTGACAAGCTTGATTTTGTAGGTACTAACTGCTCCACCTCTCCATTCTTCAACCCAAGAATTTCCTAGTAGAAAACTCTGCAGATGGACATCTCTTATGCCCACACACCACACCCCTCCACCCCTTCTCAGGATTCACCTTTTTCTTCTGCTCAAAAACTTCAGCCTTCAAATCTCTTCTCACATTAGATGTCTTTTTTTTAAAAAAAAAAAAAAAAAAAAAAAAACCGAAAAACAAACAAACAAACAAACCAACAAAAAAACCCACCCAAACAAAAACAAAAACAAAAACAAAAAAACCCCAAACAAACAACAAAACAAACCAAACAAAAAAACAAAACAAACAAACAAACAAAAAAAAACCACCCCAGTTCTTTCTTCCCCACATCCTGAACCTCTCCTTATTCTGTTAACTGACTTCCCAAAGGTTAGCTCATACCTATTCTATGAAACCAATACTAAAGACATGGCTGAGGAGACCGTTCATTTTTGCCTACTTAGGGTAAATCTAGGTAGTATCTTCCTGTTAGCACAGATGTGCAAAGCAGCAGTTACCAGCTGTCCTGGAAAGGTGAAGATTGGGTACAGAAATGTTGATAGCTCTATTAGAATCTTGTTTCTGGATCTTACGCAGAGTGGAAGAAAAAGGGAAATTCTTGGTTAGACAATGTTTATGTTTATATTTTTTCAAAAATGTTTAGATGCTCTATACAAAGGCCTCTGAATTCTGTTAAGGCTTTCTCCTTCAGGGTAGTGCTGCTGATCTTTAAAGCAGGAGTCCCACTATACAGTTAGAAGTAGAAATATTTGCTATCTGAGGTAGAAATACCCTAACTGAGAAGAAATAATTACTATTTATATAAATTTTGTATTACTCCTTGTTCCTCTTCTGAGTATTACTAAATTAGAGTCATCACTAAGAAAACTGGAAAAGCTACAAGAGAACAAAAAGCCCAATGAGAAATGCCTGCACCATGTGGATGGATTTGTAACATTTTCCTTCATTTCAGGTTTATAACCGTCCGAAAAATTGCAATAATGAATTTAAAAGTTTATTCTATTCTATGCTAAATTTTGGTCAGATTTCAAAGACTACACAAAAGGATGAAACCCATTCCTCCATTGTCCTATAATTATGTTAGATACGCCATTACATTATATATAACTTTAGGTCCTAGAGAGATTTTAAACTGGTTTTCCCCATCCCCAAGAGCAGCGAATGAATCACGAGCACCCTGACCAAACTATATGATGTTCAGAAAATGTACATGCACGATACAGTCCCACAAGGGCCTCATATTCTTATTAATTTCCTTCTTTACTCTGCTTTATTGTGCAGTGTTAAGGAGCTGAATAGATGCTCTCTGCCAGCTGGAGACAGCTGTGATTCTGTGATGAATGAAGCAATCCATACACTGGGGGAGCCTGAGTTTACTGGATGATATCCTCAGTTGATGTAAATTAGCTTGAGCCCATTAAACTTAACGGAGTAGTGCTGATTTACTCCCTGGAAAAATGGAGATGCTGGTTACTGTAGAGTGTTGCTCTCAGAAGTTCATTAATGAGGTCTAATGGCATCATATTTTTATACCTCACAGAAAACAGATTTGAACAACCCACAGTCATTCAGCTGCCCTGAGAGAAAAAAGGCTGCAAAGTGTGCTGTAATTCCTGTACTAACATCTTATCTATGGAACTGTTGATTCAAACTTGGATGCTGAAAGTGAAGGAAGCCTGGTAATGTCAAATTCTGCACATCCATCCAGTTCTCAAGGGAGCTAAAAAAAATGTGCACACATTCAAACATCACAATATTCACAGCCAAAAAATTCAGAGGACAGGAGAGTTGAAGAAAAGATGTCAGCTGAGTTCCTCTGGCTGATACATCAACATTTATTGGAATCCTTATTCTCTACAATCAGTTATTAATTATTATTATTTTTTAATGATTTATCCAAAGTTTGCTGAGCTCTATTCCATCCATAAAGGTTCTTCAGGTTATCTTATAACCTATATGTCCTGTCGGTATTCACTTTCCTGATTCCAAATTACATTGAGCAATTTCACATTTTAGCCCAAGCAGACTTGAGTTATGATTGGGAAACATTTTAACTCAAGAGTTACTGCATTTGCAATCCTGTGCCAAGCAGATAATTGCAGCAGGATATTGTAAGTAGATTGCTAGGGTGAGTATTGTATTGCTCTCTTCTCGAAATCCTTCATGAATGCAAACCCAAAATCAGAGAACTTCCACCATCACAGTTTCGGTCCCTGAACAGATTGTTACTCTCAGAAGTGAAATCAAATACAGTAAATCGAAAACACTCCTGGTTCCTTCTTACCCTCAGGCACACAACTGACAAGTGTGCACCTGCGACAGGAGGCACTGAGCACACTACTTTTTTCAGTTTCAATTTTTGAAATATCTTCTGCCTTTTATCCTATATCACATCACTCAAAAAAATCTGAAGCTTATTTTGCCTTTTATGACATAATTTGAAGAGTTAGGTGGATAAAGATGACTTTATGGTGTGAGTGCAAGCTGATAAACTGACTTTTTGCTCAAGAGCAAATTTTGTTCCTGGACAATGGGCTGTCTTATTTTTCAGATGCTGAGCATTGAAGGCACATCCTCCTGTGAATTACTTATTTCTTGTCATGAAGCATGCTGAAATAAAACACTTTCTTTTTTGAAGCCTGAAATTCAGAGGGGAACGTTATGTAAAAGTCCCCAAACTGTCTTTTGTTTCTCCAGCAGTTCATTTCACTGTGTTATTCTAGTAACAGACCCTCAGTGTGATGGTGAATGAGTTGTTACATATTTAAGTTATGTGCTGCAAGGAGGAGGAAGGGCCATCTGGAGTCTCATGATAGCCAGCTCCTATGAGAGTACTTCATCTTGGCTGTTGAATCGGCGGTACACACAGTAACTGACAAGATGGCACACTAGGATAATGCAAGACATTGTACTTCTTTTTTCTGGACTGCTGCATGGCTTAGGTTTTACACACCTGTCAATGTTTTACCAAATCATGTAAGTGTTTTAAAACCATTTGGGAGAACTGTGTTCTCAGTGCAACAAGTGAAAAATGCCGTAACAAGGACAAGTTGCACTCTCACAATTACATTCTGTAGTTCTTACTCCAGACATGCCTGTAAAACATCCCCTCTGACCCAGGGAGCAATCCTCAGGCATAAACCAGCTTTACCAGGCAAAGACAAAGGCAAAGGGATTCTCTTACCTTCCTATTTCTCAACCAGTAGCAGCTGCAGGCTACCAGCTTTAGGACAATTTGAAGTTGTGCAGGCTATAAAATATTTCCTTAGCAGAGGAATATGCTCCACTTTCTGTTTAAATTAACTTTATAACCCTTCACATGACAGTGTTGCTAAGTATGAGATTGCAGCATACTATACATTTGGAAGTAATTAGGACAGAAATGGAGTTGGCATCTTTGCATGAGTACCAACTACAGAAGAACATATGCATTGCAACACTTAGCTACTTATAATTTCTCTCAACATTGATATTTGTATTTTCTCATACCGAGGAACCCCAAAATTTTACCCCAATCTCCTTTATGTTATAAATATAGGACAGCAAGACTTTCTGTCCTTCTAACTTCATTTCTATGGGCAGGTTACAGACCACAGATATAGCAGATGGACAAGGTCATCACAGGAGGAGAAAATATCAGTTGTGCCAGGGCACATCAGAGATCCATCTAGCCCACTGTCTGGTCCCTGGCAGTGGCCATCTCTGGGTACCTAGGGAGAATGTAAGGACATCATACAGCAATACTTTGCCAGAATATTCAACCAATATTTACTGATTACTAGGTCAAGGACTTTCTCACTTAAATGTAGTGTCTTCCTTTATAATGGTCCTTCATTTTTTATTCCAAGAATTCATCTAGTCTCACTTGTGAACCATGAAAATTATAGAATCCACAGTGTCTTTGGGCAAAGGGCTTCACAGCTGTGCTGGTTTTGGCTGGGGTAGTTAATTTTCTTCATAGTACCAGGTATAGGGCTATGGTTTGGATTTGTGCTGAAAACAGTGTTGATAATACAGGGATGTTTTAGTTACTGCTGACACAGAGTGAAGGCCTTTTCTGTTTCTCCACACCACCCACCAGCGAGCAGGCTGGGGATGCAAAAGAAGTTGGGAGGGCACATGGCCAGGACAGCTGACCAAAACTGACCAAAGGGATACCCCAGAACATATGATGTCATACTCAGTAATGAAACTAGGGGGAAGGTTGTCTGGGGGGTCACTGCTCAGAGATTGACTGAGCATTGATTTGTTGGTGGTGATCAATTGTTTTCGTTTGCATCACTTTTCATTATGATTTATTATTGTTGTTGTTATTATTATTAATTTTTGTTTTATTTCAAGTATTAAACTGATCTTGTCTCAGTCCACAACTTTTCTCACTTTTACTCTTCCATTTCTTTTCCTTCCATCCTGCTGGGGGTGGGGACTGAGTGAGCGGTTATGCGGTAACTGGTAACCCCAGTTGCTGGCAGGGGTTAAACTATTATAACAGCCTTACAAGCTGTTGTGCAAAGGAAAATTTCTGAAGTTTCATTTGTTGCCCATAACTCTGGAAAAATCTCTGAGCGTTCCACACTTACCATCACTGAACTGTGCAGAATCTTGTCATCACCCCATCACCTCAGCCATCTCCTCCCCAGGCTGATAGCTGTTGCCAGTTCAGACACTCCTAAGGAACAAAAAATGCAGAATTCCTTCATGCAGGCAATATGGTCCATGTGAGATCACACCAGCTGTCTCACCCCAAATTCAGACTCCCTGGGGAATGTCAGGCTGATTTACTTTGGGCCTGCACAGATCATCCGTCAGGGCATGTGTGACCCCCCAGCTCTGTCTGTCCCCATCCATTACACACACACACACACACATGCACACACACATGTGTGTGCACATGCAGTTGCGTGTATGCATGAAGAAGCTGCTCCACAAAGAGAGCAGGAGGCTGAATCTTACACTTGGGGCAGATTATCCACCAGGGATAACTCACAGGGCTGGATATGGCAGCTGTTCATAGGGGAAAGACTGTCCCCATCATGCCCACCTGTGATGACTAAAAGCACAACCCAAAGCTGCATCAGCACTCAATGGACAGAAGAGGTTTGGGGTCAGGTGTGAGCAGGGCTTTTCGTGGAGTCTGACACTGAAGTGAATTTCTCCAGAGAAGCTGAGAGAAGGGGATTAGCAACAGAGCAATTTGAATTTCTCAGCTCAGTGCAAGGACACCCTCAGCCTCGCACCCAGTGACCTGACTCAGCCTTTGCTCAGTCGCATCAACAAGACACAGACCTGCCCCACAACTCGACCATGCCAAGTCATGTCCAAAGCTGACTGTTTCTTACTATCCACATTTACACTCCTGTTTTCACATACTGCTGCTCACAGCTGGGGAAAATGAAAGGTCTTGCTTTTTAACCATCTCTCTGAATTCGCTAAGGCAGGGAGTGAGGCTGTGTCTGATCTCATCAACATACTAAATATTACGCTTATCACACAGAGAGCAGCATTAACTCCAGGGTGATTAATTACCTAAGGTACTCCAGCTCTCAGAAACACAGTAAACAATTAATATAATTTAACTTTACAGCTAACACAGCAAATTAAAATACAGAAACAAATCCATTTTTTCAGTTCATTAGACAGGACATAAACTCTCCTGTGAACAGGCCTGATAAGTGGAATTTCCCTTTAGGGCATTACTGTTGAAAAATGACAAGTGTAATATTTCTATCTAGCACTTTGCTGAGATTCTTTCGGCAAATCCCCAAACCATGCAGTTCCAAGCTACTCTGAGGGAGATTTTCTCTTTCAAGGCTCTTATTAGGAGCTCCTTCCCTCTGAAAATATATTGGGGTTCTGACATTATGGGGTTGTTCCTGGACATGCTCTAAAAATCACAAGGTATTGCTCTTCCTCAGGAGACCAAATCTGGTACATTTAAAATAAAATTTTGATGTTGCAGATAGACAAATGTGCTGCACAAACATTGTGCTGAAGTACAGAGAATTCTTCAGCTGAACTGACATTTTATGCCATAAAGAGAGAGCGTGTCTATCCATCTAAACCATCTGCCTATTTATACCTCCAATCACCATAGCATCCAGTCACAACAACAGGAAGAAAAACACAAAACCACCTCTTGGTTTGTCAGTTGTCATTATCAGCATGTATGAGCCATCAGATCCTGTTTGCATCACTCATTCAAGTAACTTCTACAGCTCCCAGGGTGACACATATGTAGTCTAAATGCATAGTACTCACTTCAAACTAGAAACAACATGAAATGCTGAATCTTTAAATCCTTCCTCCATCAGATTTTTTTGTTATCATTGTTTTTTAAGGTAGAACTCCACTGGGAACTTGCATAGGCAAAAGGCTGAAAAGGGATTTGTTTGTCAGTGACCTATTAACATCTACTACTAACATGTCTTACACCCTCTGAATATCAAGGCATCAATTAATCTTAAATGAAATAAAAATCCATCATCCCAGATTCTCCATCAGTATAACTTGTTAGAGCTGCAGCTAGAGCTACATTCCCTTCTAGTATGCAACACTACCATATTGATTTACAATGGTTTATTTGGACAGAGGATCAAGCTTGCAGAAGACTTGCATCTGCTAAGACATCTGAGTAGAGGGGGCAGCTTTAGCTTGCCTAAGTCAAATCAAGGATGGACTCTATGTGCTTAAAATTCAGCTGAGGCTCAGGGACCCGTCTAACTCACCCATTTTCCATTACTACATGACACAGCACCTATATTAGTTAGCTTGTTCCCCCCATGCTAACCTGGATCATGCTTCTGGTCCTCCCCTTGCATCCTGAGTTACAGACCGAGCTACCCCTGCCCACCCTGAGGGGTACTCGATGATACAGGAACAACCACCCAAAATTGGTGCCAGCCTCCCAGAGCCACCTGAGGGTGGCAGACCAGGCAGGGTGTGGGTGGGGGACATGCGGGTGCTGCTCCGTGGGGAGGAGTAGGCTGAGGGTCCCTCACTGTCCCTGCTGAAGTGATCTGGTGGTGGTGGAGCAGCTGAGGAGGCAGGTCCCCCTCTGCTCACCCTGCAGGCCCTGGCACTCTAAGCTCCCTCGCTAGTGCCTTGCAAATTGGACATGTAAACTAAGCAGATTGATTAAGTAAGAAATCCCTGAGCTGAAGATGTGTTGCTGGGTTCATTTAAGATCAAGATTTAGCTTAGCTCATAGTAAAACAAAACAAAACAAACTGCAGTTTATAACTCCGAGCACAAGGAAAACAGCAAGCCAGGACACTGTAATGTATGCCCAGGTCCCCTCCTATTCTCCAGGTTAGCCAAGGAGTATGCAAGTCACTGTTTGTAATGGAGCATCACAGGCTTTGGGAGAGGCTGTGGCCACTCATGACAGACAGGAGCAAGAAAATGAAGATGTGGCAAAGCAGTGGGGACATCTGAACTGCCAGAGCCTCAACCAACAGTGCCAAACAGCGATCTAATTAAAAAAAAAATATTTGAAGTCGAGCATGCTGCTGCAGTGTGTGTGCAGCAAGTTTAGAGTTGCCCTGTGATCCTTTATGACTACCATGTGTTGTATTGCCTCCAGCAGACTCTGTGTGAACATGCTAGTTCATCTCAATAGGGAGACATGGAGGAAGAGTCAGGACAGAGAAAAATAGCTCTGGAGGCCACCTATGTGAAGGTTCAGGAAAAAAAGTCTAGGAAAACAGTTCAGAGAGTAACTTTCTCTTTAAACATCTCCCATTCTTTTAAAATAAAGCTTTCTTCCCAAGGCCTACAAAACCCACCACAGTCCTAGCAAATGTGAGGCAACTGATGTGCTGTGGCTACTGCTTAGCATAGGGATCACAGCTGTTTCACTCCCACTGTAAACTGTTTCACTCTCCCCTGCGTGTATTACTTACCTTACCTCTTGCTGTAAACTCCAATCTTAATTAATTTTGGATGTCTTTTTGTATTTCTTTTGGTTTTTCTGTGAGGATGGGTTTTGGTACTTTTTCATCATCTTCCCTGCTCTTCAGTGTTCAGTCTCTCGGTATCCCTTGACTGCAAACTGTCATTCCTGTGCTGCCTGCTGCCTTCCACTGCTGTGCCCTTGGGGCATATAGTCTGACCAGCTTCTTGTCACCACATCTAGGCTTCCTTACTGCTTTCAGCTAGGAAAGAGGACAATCCAAGGAGGTTTCCTCCCTGGTTTTTTTCTCTACTTAAAAGATATTAAAGCTGCCATTCTTGGTGATGTGTTTGTGTTAGTGGTGATATGTTTGCTTACATTGTTCCACCCCAACCCACCCCCCCACACACCTCCCCCCACCCCCCCCCCACCCCACACACACCCCCCCACACACACATGCCCCCCCCCCACAACCCCCCCACCCCAGCCTCAGGAGTAGATAAAATCCTGCAAGCAACTTATACCATAGAGTAGTAGAAATTCACAGAATGGATCATTTCCTCTTTTAGCAAACAAGGGAAAGTATAAGAAAGAGTGCTATGCTTAAACACGCTCTTCATCACTCTCCTGAGTCTGAGTGATTCAGTATGATCTCAGTCTGTTGTCCTGCCTGACTGGCTCCCCACTAAATGATTAAAGATGAATACAACTGTGTAACAAGCATGTGTTGTCTTACCTCAGGTCTTCTTTCCTTGCTCTCTCTGGTCCTTCTGATATGCAGCCACTACTCCCTATCATTTCTGCTTCACACTTAGCTCCCTCTACAATTACCTAAAACTTGGCATCCTACAGTTTTCATAGCTAAATTATGCCTGGCAGGTTACTGAATGCCTTGACCCTCACAGAGACAAGTTCTGTGGTGATGAGCCATACATACATATAGGAACTACACTGACAAACCATTGGAGAATTAAGCTGGTAACAAAGTAAAATGTTGGACTGAGGGCAGTTAATGAAGTAAGATGTAACATAATACAGTTAGTGAAGCAGAATGGTGACAGAGAACTGTCCTTCTGGACCCATTTGTCGTAGCAGAGGATTCTAGCAAGATACTGAGAAAGAAACCTGGTTTGTATGTATTATGGAAATCACTGATCAACAGGACATGAAAATGTCTATTGGACCATATGGTGTCTGCTATAGGGAGATATCACAGATATGTGCTCTGGAAAGTGCCTGACATATCACAAACAACTGAATAATCATAAGATGGAAGGGACCTCATGGACATTAACTCTTGATCCTGTAAGCATCACCAAAACCCATATCAGAAAATTTAACATGCAGTATAATTATACTTTTTCTTTGCTTTCCATTTCAAATGGGTGCTAACAACTCAGGCAAATCACTGTTTGCTACACTGACAAGATCCTATGTTAGTTATTATCAGTTAGTGATACCTGTCTTGTTTCTTCCAAACCTCCCTCATTTGTGAATGAACTGTATAATTCCCCAGTGGCATTTCTCATTCTCCTTTTTGCTGCCTCAATCCCATCTAATCCAGGCAACCACATTTTGCCACTTGTGGCACTCACTTGCTTTTGCAGCAGGAAAAAGCTCACCTCTGCCTGACTTTCATCTGACTTCCTTAAGTCACTCCTGATCATATTGGTGTTACAGTGAACCACCTTTCTTTACTATCTTTTACTCTTCTAAGGCTACTTACAGAGGTAAACTTCAAGCTTGCTGATAGTTGTTTTTTAAGCTATCTAGACCCTTTATTTCTGCAATGCCCTGTCACAGTGAAGCAGTATCCATCAGGCTAACGTGGTAGCTCTGAAGAACTCTCATGGAACTCCAGTTTCACAGGTAGCTGCTATATTTTTTAGATATTATGCCATCCTGATGTCAGTATAGAATGATTTTCAGTGGAAACAAGAGAGAAGCAAAATCACAGTGAAGAATAAAGTATCCTGAGGATCTCCTCTCTCCCCTGAACATTTTCCTGACCCTTGATGCTAATGTCATTATTGAGCTACTACATTGCCTTGTGGGAACAAGACTTTAGGGCTTCAAAAGCACTTGGCATGATCATAAACTGAAGTTAACTGCTGCAATGCCATTGCAATGCCAATATCTGACCTGACACAAACAGTGCATAGGGGTATGCAGGGAATCCAAGCCCACTCCAGTAAGAGGAACAGGCTGAGACATTATCGTTCAGCGGAAGTCAGTTTTGGTACAGTGAGGCACCACATGGACTTTTGCACATAGCTGTAAAAGCAGTCCTTTGTGGATGCTGCCCATGGAGGAGGAGGGGGGAACGATTGCAGCATGGTTCTCATCAAGGTTTCTGTCTCCAGACAGGCACAAAGAACAAGAGAGACAAATATCAGTCTTTGATGAAAAAAGGATGGAGACATTCTCCTCAAGTAGATACATCAAAATTTGTTTTTCTCCCACCTGTGGATTCAGTGATCTAATCCACAGATATCCGTAATAACAATTACATCATATTTCTGCAGAATATTTGCTAAATACTGTCTGCCAAGCAAATCTGAAAACAATCATTGTGTGTACAGAGGTCTTAGATCACATGGCAACTCCAGTTTGACATAAAGCATCATGCAATTAACTTGTCATTATAACAAAATTAGTAACCATAGCTGCTAAACAGAGGATCATGACCTGTTTTTAAAACAGCAGAGCACAGTGTGTTTTCTCAAAGAATCAATTTTTTGGGATGATTTTCTAAATAGCATTTGACAAATGTAGTGATTAGGTTAAACAGGCACTTAGTACTCTGTCACATTCAAAAACTTTCCACAATCATGCAGGTCTACCTGTTTATTTCTCTTGCCAGCCTTTGATGGTAGGGGAGCAGAAGGGAAGAACCTCTCTTTTGCCATATGTAAAAATCACAGGATGATTTTCAAGGTATATTCATTATTTCTTCAGAGACAATCTCAACAAAAGATCTTTTCTCTGTCTTGTTTACTCTCCAAACAATGACAGTTTCTGAGAACACCAGAGAAAAATAAATTTTGGATATTTCATTGCATCAAGCAGAGGAGTACAGAGTTGGAAATGGAATTCTTCTCCTCTAGAAAAGTTTAGCCTGTAAATCAAGCCAGTATAGTGCATTGTGTGGTAAGACTGGGAGAATAAAAGATAACCTGTTTGTCCTGGTTTGGGCTGAAATAGAGTTAATATTCCTTTTCAGGGACTAGATGAGTGCTGTGTTTTGGATTTAGCTCTGGGTTTGGTATGAGAAGAATGCTGATAGCACACTGATGTTTTCAGCTGCTACCGAGACTTCAAGGACTCTCCGACTTCCCATGTCCTGCCTGTGCGCAAGGGCACAGGGAGCAGGGAGGGAGCACGGCCAGAGCACCAGACCCAAATTGGCCAGTGAAATATTCCATATCATGGAACGTCATGCTCACTATATAGAGGAGGGGCAGTCGGGAAGGGGCTCTCTCTCTCTCTCTTGCTTCCGGGATTGTGATTGTGGGATCTTGGTATCTCGGGGTCGCCAGCTGGGAACAGGCTGGGGATTGGTCAGCGGGTGGTGAGCAATTACATTGTGCATTGCCCATTTATATTTTCTATCACTGTCATTGTTCTCATTTTATTACCAATATTAAACTGTTCCTATCTCAACCTGTGAGTCTCCCTTTACCCCTCCAATTCCTCCCCCATTCCCAGGTGTGTGGGGGGAAGGGTGGGTGATCGGCTGCGACGTGGTTGGCTGCCAACCAGGCTCAAACCACAACACTGTTAAAACCACTCAACTCTATATTCATGAAATGCCTGACAAGTTCACTATATTAAAGTGATTTACAAATGGCACATGGCTGGGATAAGGGTAGCAATCTTGCTGACAGATTTTCACATATATCCACAAATATGTGTGTGTACACACACAAAATTTGGCTAAAATCCAGGCTGAAGAAGTTTTATCTGCCACTGAACTGATGTGTTCTTTGGTATTCAACTCTGTAGATAGAAAGCTTTATTATAAATCTGTGTCTGTGTCAGAAAAGCAGAGGCCTTGCACCTGAAGTCCCAAACTGACAGAAAGAGGTGTGACATGCACATGCATGAAGCAAATGAAATT